CGTCCAGAGGACCTATACAATTTTTTTCCTTTTGATTTTTTACCTGGATTACTGAGATGCATCAGGACATCTTCCAGCTGATAATAACTGGGACAATTTAGGAATAACTGGATGGGCTTTTTCAGAATATAATAGGACAAAATTTAAAGAAACAGTTCATCATATTTAAAAAATGTGTTTTATGTGCCTTGTGTCAATGTCTGATTTGATCAGTTAAACAAAAAATGCAATTTAAGCACATTTTCAATTTTTTTTGTAGCACTTTGAGATTTTTGTTAATGAATAGTGCGTTACAAATTAAATTCATAATTATTATTATTATTTATATGAGTTTTACTCAGAAAGTCACATCTAAAAACCCAACTGTAGTACAGTCTGATGAATGTATACTCTGAGCTATTTTAAATTTACATATAAATAAATAATTATTGTCCGTGAGCATAAAAGGTAATGTAATCGCCTGAGAATGAGTTTGTCTGTTGTCTGAAACCAGCGAACAAATTTCAATGAAACTTTCAGAATGTAATAAGTGGATCATCTACAATGAAATAATAAGTCGAGATGGAGGCCAAAAGTGACAACAAAACAGTCCATTGTTCAAATTATAAGCAAAATTTTCAATTTTTAATGTTTTAATTTGCGCTGAGTGCAGAACAGATGGTGCAAGGTTTATTAAATACACAAAGTATGTATTTATTATTGTGACTTACATTGCCAAGTTTTTTTTTATTTTTTTAATTGATTCTTAAATTTCTTTGGTTTGCGACAGGTAGCTGAGGTAAAAATTTGATTTACAGAGCTCATTTTCTATCTTACACCATGTTTACATTGCAGGTGCTTAGATTAAAATTTTCACTCAGATCCACCTTCAAGTTATAATTTAAATACAACCTCCATCAGACTCCAGTGTGAACAGTCCACGGCCCTGAAGCGAAGCGACCCTCAGAAGAAGACATAACGACAAACGTAGCCTGCTGTGTTTACAGAAGTAAATATGGATGTGACATGTTAACGTGTGTGGATCCATTCTGAAGTTGTGCAGCCAACTAAATTGGTATCTGCCATGTTTGTTTGGTCCAATGATGATATTGTGTATTCCAGCACAGAATTATACTTCTGGAAGTATCGATCCCATCAAGGTAGTGTTGATGTCATCCGACACAACTTTTATTTTGTAGCTGAAAATGTGGAGTTCTAAGCTTTAAACTGCATGATAACATCAACATTTGGATCAATCTGTGTGCTTCTATTTCAGTGATGTATGTCATGTCGTGTCAGTTTATTTATATCGCACATAATCTCAACATTCATCCATCATTTACACCTTTTGTGGCTTGTAAGGTCTCTTTGACGAACATCAAATGTGCATTCTGAATACAACCTTGTTCAGACTTGTGTTAGATAAAAGTTCTTCATTACCGTTGCACACCCTGGGCAGCTGTTCCCATTCTGACAGGTTCTAGTCCTTGACTGGACCCCTCCTCCACATTCAGCGCTGCAGTGGGCCCAGGGGCTCCACGCTGTCCACGACACAGGCAGGGGACAAGGCTTCATCTCGTTACAGAGCCTGCAAAAACATCAGCGACACTGTTGTAAAACACCATCAACAAGAAGGACCAACTCCTGACGAGCAGCATCACAGAAACATGTTTCATTTATAGCAGCTGTCATAACGATGGTCCTCCTCACCTCTCCTCCCGACCCTGGCCCACACAGATTCGACCTCCGTGGCGAGGTGAGGGGTTGTTGCAGGACCGCTGCCTTACCTCGAATCCGATGCTGCAGCTACTGCTGCACTGACCCCAGGATGACCAGGGAGTCCAGCCTCCATTTCTGAGAAACATTCACAGGGATCAGATGCTCAGGGAAGCAAATATTTAAAGTGCCTGTGACATGCATATCCTTCACATATGAAAAGTAAAAGAAAACATCTTTAGATTTAAGAAACTTGGCTTAATACATTTGCTTTTACCCATTCTGTCACATAACTGGCATTTCTTCTTTTGAACTTGCAAAAAAAAAAACTTTCTCATAATTGGAGTCACCTATGTATGGAGGTCAAGGGTCACTGAACTTACCAAACCAAACTTTAGTTCCAATAATTAGTTCTAAATGTTTTGAAATCAATAAAATGAACACGGTGCCCAAATTTATGCACCTGTCTAATTTTGTTTAACCAATTATTGCACACTTTCTGTAAATCATATAAATTTCATTTCACTTCTCAAATATCACTGTGTTTGTCTCCTATATGATATATTTAACTGATATTTTTAGTCCAAACAATCAATGATTTTTAAAGGTAAATCAGAAAAATGAACAAGGGTGCCTAAACTTTCACACCCCACTGTACATATGAGCAGGAGAATTTAGATGAGGTAGTAGCTGAAAGTTGTCCCCAACACATACACTTAGCATGGTTTCTTGCAACATCACTTTGTGAGCACAAAGAAAGCGTAACTGTATTTTTCAGGTTTGACCAGAATGGCTACAACACCATCATTTCTCCTCAGAAGATGATCTTGTCTAATAATGCATTCAGGTAATGCATTCCTTTAAGAACTGCTGGGTCTGAACTTTGAAATCAGCAGCTTCAGTCTGGTGTGGTTGATGTTAAAAGATTAAAGACATACCTGGAACAGTTTGCCACCTGGATAGTCGGACCTTTGCATTCAGCTCCTCCACATCTGGCCACCGGTCCATCGCAGGAGCGGGATCGACACACGCAGCTGCTAAAGTAACCCTCGCCGTCATCGTGGTTACAGGGTTGCCACGGGGCCCACGGACCAAACCCACCGTCCTGCGTCAGGTTCCTCACCTCCAGAGAAGATTTGGTAACAGGACTTGAACAAAACAACCTTCCTCCGAGCATAAAATCTACGACTCTGCTCTTACTGGGCATTCTGTGATGTTTTGGGTCCACTGGTTCATGTTGGAGCTGCCTTCAATGGTGGTGCAGCGTTTCTGCTTGAGGTCCCAGCCACAGTAAGGGTCCCGAGCCTCCATGCAGTCACTAATTGGAGTTCAGAACAGATGATATTTACAAAGCAAAAAGACAGAGCTCTGAAAGTGGCCAGCATTTTGGGGTATTTTGCATTATTTTTCAAGCAAAGTGTTTTTAAGTTGAGTCAGTAAATTAAAGAGTTTAGATTAATTTATACTAAACTGATCCTGAGTCAGAGCAACGAGGCTCATACCCTTCAGCTTGGTATCTGGAGCAGCGTTCTAAGGGGATTTTCACCAGTTTGTCGTCGAGCCCAACAAACAGCGATCTGTCGTTGTGGAGGATTTTCAGACTCTTTATTGTTCCTGTTTTCCCCTCAGGAAGGATCCGCAGTTCCTCCAGGAAGCAGCCGTTCAGGCTTTTATTGGTGGTGGCGAGAGCCTTCAGGATGGTGCCGTACTCTGATTGAACAAGAAGAAATTGAAGAAAGAAAATGAAAAACTTCAACCATGGATTCATTTATTGTTWTTGTTCAGGAGTCTAGCTCACCGGTGCCAATGTACATGACATGGTAGAGAGCGTTTCGGCCCTGCACGATGTCCACCACCAGTTTGGAGAAGCGCAGGTTATCCTGGGTRAGCAGGGGGTTGGTGGAGACCGGCTGGACGACGTCGCTCATGAGGAAGAGCCGCTGCGCGTCCTGAAGACTGCGTTCTGTCAGGTTTCCCCCGGGGCCGTCTTCCTCCAGGGTGCCACACTAAAGAAACAATGAGCAAGATGTTAATGCCACAAAAAAGTTTAYATTCATCTCCATCACATTCTAAAATTATTCACTTTATTGATACTTCTGGAAGGAGACATGATACTTGGTACATTTTGTTTATTTGTGTCAGCATCAGAGTCTTCTTTTGTGCAGCAGAAACATCATCAACAATAAAACTGCCATGGGTTCAGACTGTCACAACATAAAACTTGCACAACTAAATGAAAAAAAAAAAACAGCCCAAATCTCAAGTTCTGTTGTGACTTACATATATACATATACAGTACACATATACATATGTCACATAAGTGACTTGTAAATAAAAAAAAAACAGACTGAAAGTGTCTGCGGGTGGATGAAGGTGTCTGGATTGGCAGCAAGCAGCTCAAATTTTAACAACCTGCCCAAAGCTGTTTTTTCCAGCCCAATGTGTGCGAAAGAAACCSAAGTGGGTTAAAACCTGCCCAGTCTGGCAACACTGCAATGGTTCAGCGTATCATTGGGATTCAGCAGGAAATAGGTAGACTGCACTCTCTGGGTTAAGACTGAGGTTTTGCTTCATGAGTGAGGGAAGAATGGAACGTCAGATCAACAGACAAGTCTGTGCTGTGTCAGCAGTATTCTGGACTCTGTGCCAGTCTGTTGTGATGAAGAGGAAGCTGAGCTGTAAGGCGAAGCTCTCTGTTTACCAGTCAGTCTATGTTCCTGCCCTCCCCTATGGCCATGAATTCMTGCTAGTTATCAAAAGAACAAGACCACTGATACAGGTGGTCAAAATTAGTGTTGTTGGATTTAATGTGGATTATTTTCTCTTCGTTTAAAACTGTGATTTTACCTGAAAGTTGGGTATAGGGTTTGGGGTGGAGAGCCATGCAGTGCGGGGGTTCTCCTGGTACCGAAAGGGTCCATTGAAGGCCAGGGTGATGGAGCTCAGATTGAAGGCACAAACAGCAGATGCAGATAAACTGTTCCTGAAGTTAAGGAGGGGGTTAAATAGGGTGTCTTCTCAGTAATGTAAGAATCAACAATGRTTATTCTAAAATGAGAACAGCCAGTTCAGGGAAAATTATTCATTAATTGTGTTAATAATAAAACGCTTCTCACACGTTAGTGGTGAAGATGCCGTAAATGAGTTCTTGCTCAGGTAAGTGGAAGGTGCTCTGCAGCTCGTTGTAGTAAAAAGGGATTTCTCCAGAGCGTGAGCAGTTGAGGCGGGCCTTCATGAACGTGGTCCAGGTGTCCTCCAAAAGGAATCGTCCGCCCATGTCGTTCTTACAGACACGTGCCACTCGGGAGAACACCGTCTTCCCGCAGTCATTTTCCACGGCGGTTTCCCTCAGGAAGAAGTAGGCAAACCGGCCGATCTCGTATGCAGACACAAAATGAGGCTCTGGTGGGAATAAAGTCAGGAAAAATGGTTTCAGACAAGAGTTAATACGAAGGAAGTTAAAAGAATGGCACAAATTATTGTAGGGCGTTGTTAACCATTGAGCCACTTGGAGTTGTACTGAGCAGTTCTCAGAGGTGGCATGTTCCCTAAACTTCTATAGATGACCGGGTCACGTCCAGAGAAATCGATCACCGTAGCAGCATATAACTCGCCCCTCTGCGTCATCATGGCAGTGGAGTTGTGACGCGGATCATAGGGACATCGAGCAACGCCGTTCACTGTGTCCACCGTCTGACTGAGGTTAGAAATCTGACAGAGAGAACAACAAAAGAAAAAAAGGACCTGTCTTTGTCGTAAGGCTTTTTTGATACACTTTTATTCAAAGCAACAAATCAAATTGGGAACATGTTGTGAGAAGCTTTTGTACCTACCTGCCTGGTTATGCAGACTGGTGTGAAAGCGTTGGTCCCACATGTGAAGAGCGTTCTGCCGTTCATCAGCAAAACACGGACGTAGTTTTGACATTCATCCTGCAAAAAAAGGACTGCTCATATCAACAAAGAGTGGAAAGAACTGCTGAACCATACAGATTTATTATAATAGAAATTATGCGGTTGATACCTCAGATTTGCCTTTGCTTTGACATGAGCGTTTTGTGTCTTCATCAGGTGCCCATTTTGTTACCTGAGAAGAACAAAATTCTTATTTTAGGGAGCTTGTGCCTTGAATAGCTTCTGACCTTAAACCTTAAAATGAACAGAAAAAATAAAAGTTGACGTTTTGCCTGAAACGCATTGCCTAAATAATACAATTAATGTAAATGTTTAAAGAGCAAGTGCAGGTTTTTATGTTTTGTTTTTCAGATTTTATAAAAGCTTTTAATTACTGCCTTTTATCTACAGTGTCATATTCTGTGTTGGCAAATGAGAATAACTGGTTATTAAATTAAAACCTTTTACTTTGTGTAGTTTCATAAATGTTATTACTTGTTTCAACTGAGAAAACAAAATCTGCTGCTTTGGTTTCCAAGTCTTATCTCATCTGTTCTTTTTATAAATCTAATCTTGTAGACTTGTAACTGTTTGTAATCTTTTTGCAAAGTCTTTCAAAAACACAGTTTTTTTGACAATTTTTGCTAGTTTGTGTAAAAGCAAATCAGAAATGCTTATACAGTGAACTACTTGAAAATTGTCAATGGGGCCAAATTTGAAAAAATAAATGTAGATTGAAACACAAGTGAAGTTTAACTGGTTTAAGGAGGAAACCGTGCTGACAGAACAGATAAAACAGATTTTATCAAAGTGGGCAAAAATTTAAATCTTGCTAAAACCACACAGTTAGATTTACGGTACTAATGAGTTAAATTTAGGTTACTACCCAGGTTTAGGCTATTCAGTTGGGTTTATGCTACTATTTTGATACGTTCAAAGTACTTCTTAGTTACATTTAGGATATTACTCCGGTTCAGGCTAATACTTAGGTTTACTCTGTTAAGTTGACTGAAGTTTAGATCCAGTCTTGTATTTTACATGTTCTGATCATTGCAGCCATATGGTTTAAAACTGTGATGATCTGTGTTCCTGGTCGACTTCCTGGTRCTGACTACCTGCAGCAGCCTTTTTCACCCTGATTGGTTCCTGGGCATTATAAGGCTCACTCTGTGCTCTGGTCTTTGCTGGAGCATCATCACTCAATGGTAATGTAACGGACACTCAGACTAAGTTCTTTAGCCTGACTAATCTAACCTGTGTTGTTTTTGTCTCTGAAGATCCCAGAGCAAACCTTCCTTGTGCCTGTTGCCCTTGAGCCTCACCTGAAGGAACTCGTTGGTTGAATTACCCATCAGAAACTCACCTGCTGGTCAACTCTCAATGCCTCCTGTGAACAACCTGCTGCCAAACCTCACCTGCTGCTGCTCCTGCCAGCACCACTTACAGCGGGTAAAATAAGTATTGAACATGTCACCATTTTTCTCAGTAAATATATTACTAGAGGTGCTAATGACATGAAATTTTCACCAGATGTTGGTA